AGTGGTCTCCTGGGGCTGGGGAGAAGGTTGGGTTTGGGCTTATTGAAAATGGCAAGTGACTGCTAATGGGTCTGGTTTTAACCAGATCATTGTTTGCTATGGGAAGCTACCCTGTGCATTGTAGGGTGTTTAGCAATGTCCCTGACATCTACCCATGAGATAGCATTGGCATCTCCCTCCAGTTGTGACAACCAAAAATGTCCCCAGTCTGCCAAATGTCACCAAGAGAGCACAATCATCCCTAGTTGTAAACCTCTAGGGTGAAAGATGCTTTAATCCAGTGTATCAAAATAACTAAAAGGGAGTGCTCTCTGTGAGTTAATGTAGGCTTTGACTTCTCAGATGATGAGAATGGGAAGGGTCTTTGTTTCAATGACTTACCAGAGCCGTGTTAATCTACCCTACTCCTAGGGATGAGCGAAGGGCAGAAAGAACATAGGCTAAGAGCTATCTGGTCCTCTTTGGAATGAGACAGGGTGTCAGTAAGTATATAGAGACATAATTTTAAAAAGGATGTAGCCAAACTAAAAGAAATTTGGGAATTTGAGGGCAAGAGAACTGAGAGGTGCCTGCATTTACTTCTTGGTCCTTTCAAGTAAGACAGGTCTCGCAGATGTGTTTTTTCAAAGCTCAAAGCTGGGAATTAAGTGACACTTTCTCTAAAAAAGAACAAAAGGAAGCTATATGCTGTGAAATCCATGCAGTCCTAAAGCCAGCATTACTCTCCAAACAGTGTTACGGATGTTTCTGGTGGATCTAGAACAGTAGGATTCTAGACTTCAGCTATTCTCAAAGTAGTGTGCCACTTGCACTAGAGTCTACAACTCCTTCCTCTCTGCTTTTCCACGCAAGCTAAACAGTTCCATAATTTTATTGGGCTGCATTACTTAATAAATACCAGATGAAATATTTACAATATAATCCTAAAGACATCAGTTATTCACATCTCCTAAAACCTTTTTGGAACAGGTAAAGTAGGGGATTAGGAGGTATTTGAAAGAGAAAATTTCTAAAATGGATACAGTGAATACTTAAAAGTAGGGATAAACGAGAACAGTTGTGCATGAGTCTCTGTGACATTGTACATTTACAGTAAGCTATAGTAACTGGTCTCCTTGAGTTTTTTGCACCGAATTGCCAAGCAGTAAGTCATCAGGTCTGCTTTAGAGATGTGTTATGTAATAAGAATTGGCAATACCATATTACTATGTATATGCTGTTGAAATGCAGTAACGTGTTACACGGGTTTTAGAGTTACAGTATTCCTACTTGGCAAACTGTAAAGTGCATATAAACATCTTAATCCTGGTATACTTAAATGCATTTATCAAGATGGCTCTTTATTCTGAGGGTTTGTAACTGACAAACAAAATGCAGAACCGAAAATATATTTTATGAGACCGCTTTTGATTTGGTATTAAAAGGATTTTCAAGGCCTTTGAATCAGTATTATTAATTCATGTGGTTCGCCTTTGGCTGAGTACGTTAGCAGTACACGTTGTTTTAGTAAGAGGGTACATGATGAAATGAAATGTACTCTGAAGACTTAAATTACTGTCCTTGAAAAATAATCATAGTAAAGCTGAGGTTACTTAAAAAATAATTCATTTTATTCATGTCTTAGAGTGAGACCATGATAGAAGAGGAAGCACAAAATTGCTTTTCTTAATAGAACAAACTGCAGGAGAAGTCTAAGAGAAAATAGCCTTGAAAGTGCCTCTAAAAGCTTACTGTAAAGGTAACTTTGCTTTTCAAACCCGGACTGTTGAAAAGTAAGAGCTGCTGGACTTGTCCTTGTGAATAAACTCTTCCCAAGGCCAGATGGGGTAGGACTTACTGTAATCCCAGCACTCAGGAGGTGGAGGCAGGAGGATCGTGAGTTCACAGCCAGCCTGGGCTACCTAGTGAGTTGGAGGGAGACCCCTTGTCTCAGAAAACCAAAAACTAAAATGAAATAAGCCCTTCCTGTGTTTGCATGGGACTGAACACACCATGACATCATGGAGCTTATGGCCTTGTTCCTGGAATTCTGCATTCTCATCAACTGCAAAGAAAAATTCTGAGATCTCTACAGTCTCTCTGTGCCCTGGAACTATGGAGAGAGAAAACGTTCTATGGTTAAAACACACCTTGACACAAAGCAGGCTCATGGGTATATATGGTTGATGGCTACTTTAATCGGACTTCTGTCAAGTCTCCTCAATGAAAAACAAAAGCTTGGAAAGTGAAGTGAGATTTACTTTGGAATATAAAGCTCCATGAGGAAGATTTAGCCCAGTCTTAGGATTTCCCATGGGGTGATGGTCTAGCTGCAATTGTCTGACTTCAACCACAAGATGTGAAATCAAGAGCTTAGAAATTGGTGGTATGTATACCATGGTGCACCTTCATGGTGCAGTTTTCCAAGAAGGCGGAAAGATCCAGAAACAGATGTATGGAGTCAGTGCTATAGGAGAAGAGCAGTGACCGTGGCTTTGAGAAGTTAACATAGTGCTTCCATGGGGTAGTGGTCGGAAGTCTAGCTTCCTCACCACTGATCACATGAAGAAGAAAATGAGAGTTATCTGTTTACGGTGCAGTCTAAGAAGAGAAATTGCTTGGGCAGGCATAGGCTAGGTTCCAGGTCATCAAGCATCATATCTCATATAACACATTCTTACTGATTCTAAGAAATCTATTTTGTTTTCTTAAAGGTATCTTTTAAATCTTGATTAGAAGCTCTGGGTTGAGTTGGGGTTCTAGTCTTTCTGTAAGTAAAATTTCTTTGAACAATTCCTTTTCCTCACTTCTGGGTTTCGTACTTCTCTAGAGTAGTAGGATAGATCCATGGGCCTCCCAGTGCTGTGCGACCAAAGAAAGAGCTGCAGATAGATCCAAGATCACACAGAGTGAAATTTATTGGGGGACTTACTGATGGAAGTGTGGTCCAAAGTGGCAGCAAGACTAGTTGGATCCCCAAAATTTGGGTTACGACAACAGTGACTTCATCCTAACCGTAGTGTACCTTGGTTTATCTTAAGATAATACCAAAGAGTCAGGCAAATCCTTGGAGCCAGAATCTGATGACTTTGATGGTTTTGTCTGTTCGTGATACACTGGGAAACTATGCAGAGAAACCTAGCGAGGGCTACTCAGGGGAAACCATGGTGGTTAGGACTTAAGAGGGCAGAGATATGGCTGTAGTCATGTCACACTGAATCCCTGCATTGATAAAATGGATATGAAGACTCAGTTGCCAGAACGCAAAATCATGACACACCTGAAAGTCTTATGGGGCTTCTGGAGAAGTAGTCTGGAGCCAGAAGCAGAAATAGCAAAAGAATAAAAAACAGAAATAATTGAAACTTATTACGATTAAAGTATAATCATAGGAGGCAGCAAATATGGAGCTGAAGTGGTATAGAAGCCAGGAAGTCAGTTGTAGGTCTCTGTAAAACTGTCTGTGATTGACCAGCTGTGGTGGCTCACACCTATAATCCCAGCTACTGAGGAGGCGGAGACAGGAGGATTGTGGTTCAAGGCCAGCCCAGGCAAAAAGTTAGCAAGACCCCATCTCATAAATAAGCCAGTTGTGGTGGTACTTGTCTGTAATCCCAGCTACTTGGGAAGCATAGGAGGGAGGCTCGTGATCCTTAGCCCTGTGGTCCCAGTGAAAGTGAAACCCTATTTGAAAAACAAACTAAAGCCAAAAGTGCCGGGGGTGTGACTCAGTAGTAAAGTGCTTGCCTAACAGGTGTGAAGCCCTGAGTTCAGATTTCAGTACCACTAAATAAAACAAAAAACTACCTGTGAGATTTAGCCTTTTCTTACATATATGAGACATTTGATTGTACAAAAATGTTTGACCAATGCATAGCTAGTCCACATTTACCAGTTATTCACTCATTACTACTCCAAGACTATCTCTGGAAGATTGTTTTTCAGTCTTTTCAGATGGGGGCTGGCTGTGTAGCCCAGGCTGGCCTCGAACACAGTAGAAGATTGTGAGGTTGAAGAACGCCTCAGCCTCCTGAGTGCTGGGATACAGGTCTGCCCTACCATGCCCAGCTGGAAGATTCTTTAGGTATAGGGAGGAAGATAGAATGCATCTGTAGTGGGAGGAGCGGAAGCTCCAGAGCCCTGGCCGGGAGTCCAGGCAGTGCAGGACAGGCCAATAGTGATGGTCAGCCTGGGGCCGGGGCAGGGTACCCTGACATAATCCTAGCTCTGTTACTCAAACTGCTGAATAATTTTGGGAAAGTTAGTTAATCTCAGTAAGCATGTAAACTATTTAATAATGATAATAACAGTAATAATAAAAGATAAATTAGATCCTGTCAATCTCCATGGTTTTCCATCTCACAACAGTAAAATCCATCCTCCTCATTTTACCTATACACACTTTCCCTGCATCATCCCCATCCTAAATTACGTTTTGAATGTGTTCTTGGGTGCCTCTCTGCTGTCACTTCTGCTACCAATAGCAGATACACTGTTACTCAATGCTGTAGCCACAGGACTTTGCACATGGCCTGCCAGAAGGTAAGCGCTCCTCATATGCTTATTTTGTTGATAAATACAAAGCACAGCAGGTGAAGCACATAGTTGGGGCCTGAGGAGTGCTAAATGCACCTTCACGATTTGTGCTGCTGCTCCTGTTTTCATCTGACTCAGGTATTACGCTACCAAAATATAAGTTTACCATAAATGTATCACTAAAGGGAATATAATCCCATTTTTAAAATAATCTCTGATCGTTAAGACAGAATAAGAAAAAATTTTTAAAAACCTAATCCTTTTATTTCTGTATGTAAGATCTTCTAACTACTACAAAATATACAGGGCCAAAGGAAAGGAATATTAGACCATGCTTTTTATCTCTCAGGACAAGTCACCTTATCAAAGAGAGAGGGAGCACTCAACTTGAACCAGCTACACTAGGCTTGAGCACGCGAGAAGCCGAAAGCCACGGGCTGGCAAGAATGCTAACACTCTGTGTTTTACTCCTGTGTCTACTCCAGGTGTTGCCACATCTGCAAACTTCCTGGGAGAGTGATGGGGATTCCAGTGCTCCGTTTCTCCTTGGTGGTCATCCTCGTGTTACTACTGGTGGCAGGGGCATTGACCAACTTACTTCCCAATGCCAAAGAAGACAAGATGCTGGCTTTGCGTAGGGAGAGCAAATCCCAGGGCAAAACCTCCCTGGATTCTTTTACTCTCATCATGCAGACGTACAACAGAACGGATCTCTTATTAAGACTTTTGAATCATTACCAGGCAGTCCCACAGCTGCACAAGGTGATCGTGGTGTGGAACAATGTCGGAGAGAAGGGACCAGATGAGTTATGGAATTCTCTAGGACCGCACCCTGTTCCTGTGATCTTTAAACCGCAAACAGCAAACAGAATGAGAAATCGCCTCCAGGTCTTCCCTGAACTGGAAACCAGTGGTGAGCTGGAGCTGAGTTCTGAGTCTGCAAGGGCTGGGGAGGGTGGGTGGATTTCTGGCTTTCTGTTTGTCTTAACTGCCTGGAGAGAAATGGGGGAATGAATCATAAGAAAGCACTTTGAAAAGCTTAAAGAACAATTTCCAAGATTTCAAGAAGCAGTTTCCTAAGGAGGAAATCACATCTTGGAACAACAACAAAACAGCAATATTTTTTTTAAAAAAAAGAAGGCTATATGATATAATACATATAATTGATTGCAGTACAGGAAAAGTCGTAAAATGACGTGTAGCTTCATAAGATTTTTGTCACCCTCTTCCTTGCATTTATAAGTTTCATGGGGTTATAATTTGCCTGAAAGAACCTTGGCTTTATTTATTTATAGATTCATTAGTTTCTGGGATGATGTATGATAATTACATCATTATTTTCCCCTCGGGCAATTATAAGATCAGTTAAAATGCAGAAAGACTTTTTCTACTAGTCAAATCTCTGTCAGAATGCAGTTCTTACTTACTGAGTCAGAAAATACTTTATTGAAATGATCTGTACACACCCAGCTGTATCTGCTTTTGTTTTCATTTCCAAACTGCTCAATATAAAACTGTTTTTCATTTCATTTCAGCAGTGTTAATGGTAGACGATGACACACTCATTAGCGCCCAGGACCTTGTTTTTGCATTCTCAATTTGGCAGGTAATGTTTATGAAAACGTCTGTATAAGATTTTACCTAGTGCTTACCCAGGGCAACATGGTCTTTAATGCAGAACTTTCTCAAAACAGTGTAGGCAACATTTTTCTAGAACATAGATGAAATCACCAAAGGCTTAATCGAGATTTCCTGAGCTTAATTAAGCCAGCGTGAAAGTTGGCTGGATATTTTGGTGAACTGGGAAGAAGGACTGGGATTGCCTTCCACAGCTCCAATGAAGACATGATTGGCACAGCAAAGATGAAATGTGGAGCTATTTTCCACGGGACACAGTCCCAAGTGAGAAATGTGTCCCTGCGACAGTGTTGTATACAACCTTATGGTGACTGGATTTGTTGAGATCAGATAATGTTAGAATATTTGTGACGCTAGAGTTTTGTTTTATTTTTTCCAGAGAGATTTGACCTGTAAAGAATCTGACCTGTAAAGTTTTGGGGAAACATTTATTTTTTATTATTGTTGTTTTGGGGATACACTGTGACATGTACAAAAGTTCTTACAATATATCATAGTTGAATTCAGCCCTCCATCATCCTCCTTTATCCTCCCTCCTCCCATCTTGGAATGGTTTCAACAGGTGTCATTTTTCCGTTTTCATACATGAGTGCATTATATTTCTACCATATTCGCCCTCCTACACCCTTTCCTTGTAACTTCTCTCCTCCCACTGGAACCAGCCCCTAGGACAGGACCTGTTTTACCTTCCCATTCTCCATTTTTGAAAAAAAAAAAGACACTGCTGTTTGTTTAAGGTAGCTACCTACATAGGGCGTTTCCTTGTGACATTTCCAGGTACACATGTATTGTGACCTAAGATTGGGGAAGCTGGCCAGAGTTAGATGAAATTAAGGTAATAAGGTAATAAAGTTGACAGATCAGTTTTATTCTCCCTGTCATAAGTGGACTTTCTCACTATGTTCTCTGAGAAGCTGCCTCACCTCATTGTTCTTTTTCCCTCTTTGCAGCAATTCCCTGACCAGATTGTGGGATTTGTTCCTAGAAAGCATGTTTCTACTTCTTCGGGCATCTATAATTACGGAGGTTTTGAGCTGCAGACTCCGGGCTTTGGAAATGGTGACCAGTACTCGATGATACTGACCGGAGCCTCGTTCTTCAACAGCAGATACCTTGAACTCTTCCAAAGACAGCCCGCCGCCGTCCACGCTTTGATCGATGAAACGCAAAACTGTGACGATATCGCCATGAATTTCATTGTCACCAAGCACACTGGAAAGGCTTCGGGGATATTTGTGAAACCTGTAAACGTTCTGAGTTTGGAAAAAGAAACCAACGGCTACTCTGGGATGTGGCACCGAGCTGAGCACTTTCTCCAGAGGTCTTACTGTCTGAATAAGCTTGTTAATATCTATGATGGCATGCCCTTAAAATACTCCAACATTATGATCTCCCAGTTCGGTTTCCCCTATGCCAACCACAAAAGTAAAATGTGACAGTAAAGCAGACACAAACCTAAAACTTGCTAAGTGTTTGCGTGCTTCTCCATGCTATCCGTTTTTGTTTTTAAACAGCGTCATGAACTGTTATCTATTCCAGAAGTTCCTATGATAGAAAAAATAAATATATGCAGCACTTCTGGAATATCAAGTTCACATTCACTTCAAAATCCCAGATGCTGGTCTTGCGAAGATGCCTTCTTGTGAAGAGTTTCCTTCCAAGGGGACGACTCCTTGGTCAGCAGTTTTTGTGTTTACATTCTGAGCCTCTTCTACAATTTCTTTGATTCCTGGCATTTGCCTTAAGGATCTATGTATAGCAAGCTGTTTCCAGGATCAGAAACTCAAGAAAGGCATTTCTCAGCTTTTTCAGTTTCCTGTTGATTGTTCAGTGAAAGCTTGTGGTGTAGGGAAAAGCCATTCAAGGAGGGAATAGTCTCAATCCCCTGTGAAAACCAGGAAAACTCATGACTGTAATGCTTTGCTCACGGCCCTTCTAACCAGAATTAACGCTGCCCAACAGTTTTGATGCAGCTGTCAGCGCTTATATTTTTGTTGGTAAGCCTGTTATGACTGGAGGGTAAATTTTCGTGGCTGAATGATGTCTCGTTGTTTGCTTGATTTTTATGAGCATTTTCTGCATGGGTCAACAAAAAATGCAGCCTGTGTTTCTTATGTGTAACTTTCCCGTGACAAGGAGTAAATGTGTACACCATTTCATCACTGAGTCTCACCTTAGGATGCACATTAATTCTTGTATTTGCATAAAGTGTGCGTTTAAGAAACATGAGTGAAATAAGATCTTAAAGAATGACTATGTAGAAACTAGCAGAAGTTAAAACCCTGCGTATCAAAAGATCTTTATCGTTTAGCACAGGTAATCTCATGGACACTGAACAGCTGTGTGGATTACACACCAATGCTTGCATTCAGAACTTGGCTGCTTCTCTTTTTCAAAAAAGAACCAAGGAACTTTTCATCATGATTGAAATTTCAACTGGAGAAAATCAGAACTGAGTGGTATCAGAGGAAGTCCACATCGGTTCAAGGTTGTGACTGCCCACTTTATCATGAGAACAAGTGTCTACGTTCTGCCCAGTGTCTGCGTTTAGTTCTTGTTCCTCCTGGCAACGAACACTTAATTAGGCCTCTCTTTTTCTTCTTCTCCTTTTTAAATAATGCCTGTGCATTCTCAAAATTGCAAAACTGTGAGAATTGTAGAAATAGTCATGGTTAAAATTCCAAGAATGAGGTCATTGTGCACTTAGTTCAGTTAAGTGTTGTTTCTTTACATTGGAGTGTATATGTGTTTTAATGTAATCAGACTAAAAAAGGACTTTGAGCTTCAATAATGTCTATTTTCTGCTTTCTCCAAACTTGGTAGGTTTTTTTGTGCGTGTTTTTGTTTTTGTTTTTTTGCATTTTGGTATTCCACTATCAGATAAATAAAATAAACTTTAACCATCTAGGTGTTCTATGTTAACAGACTCACGGGTTTTTTGGTGCTGGGGACTGAATGAAGGGCCTTACGTTTGCTGGGCAAGTGCTCTCTTCCACTACATTAAATTCCCAGGACTCAGGTTTTTTTTGTGGTGAGTGTTTTCACAAATTTCTACATACTCTAACATTTGGCTGAGAATGAAGTAGAAATACTGACTACATTCTCCATGAAAAACTTCCCCATTGGGAAAATATTTCCATATTTCATTTCACATTTTGTGTTTTAAACTTGTCTTAAGCATGACGTTAGTTATGTCACGTTTTCAAATATCATAGACAAATATGAAACCAAAGCACAGTTCAATACATATTACACAAAGACTTGTAAGCAGCATGGCTAGACTCATACTAACATTGTCTTCCACCAAACACCTCTTATTCTTGCTCCGCAAAATCCAGGCAAGAAATTTGCAAGGTTAAACTGCAAATGAGGCGAGGGAGCTCCGGGAGAAGAGTGCAGGCTTTGCTGTGGAGTGGTACTTGGGCTCCAATCTCGCTCGACAGCACATTTACTTAGCTGCCATTCAGAGTCTCAGTTTCCTCATCTGCAAAATGTGAACTTTTCTCTCACAAAATGCCTGTATAGTCTCAAAATTGCATAATCTTGAGAATTGTAAAATAATGGTGATTACAGGTGGGGCTGTAAATAAGTAAAGGAAATTCAGGAATTTTCTCTAACAATAGGCAAGGAACCATAGGAATGTTTTCTTGTTTTCATTATTTTCTTCATTCCAAATGCCTCTATTCTTCTCATTCAAGCTGCACATACTCATTCTAGCAATTTTGGCATCTTCAGAATGATACAAGGAATAAATTAAAAGCCCACCTCCCAATTAACAGTGACCTTTTGGTACGTATTCCCACAGACTTTTCTAGGCATATATTTTAATAGCATGATTTACTGTATGAGTAAACTATGATTTATGTAATCAATTATATCACCATCTTAATGATAATTTCTTTTTCTTTTCTGGTAGGACTGGGGTTTGAACTCAGGGCTTCATGCTTGCAAAGCAGGTGCTCTACTGTGGGGAGCAGATTAAAGCCTGCACACAAGCAAGGCGAGATGCAGTTAATTGCTTTTACCTGTAGGCCGAGATATGCACAGCCGCGGGCCACCAAACAGGGAAAGGCAGAACAGCTATGTCTCCTAAATTGTGTTCAGAGAAGCAGGAACGCAGGTTTCTCCTGTTGCAATGTCACGCCCCTTCCCAGGGCTCCACCCTGTTTGCTGCTATAAAAGACCCCTGGAGGAGGAAGAGGGGCTTTTGGCTTTTGCCTTTTCAGGCTTTACTTTGGGCTTTTGGGATTTTGGACTTTTTTCCTTGGCCTTTTGCTTTGAGGGGCTTTTTGCCTTTGAATATTGGGAAGAAGCTTTTACCTTGGGCTTTTTCGTGTGGGAAGCTGTTGGAAGGGAAAAGAATTGTTGAAGGGAAAATGCTAAAGAGGGGTTGATAGAAAGTCAGCACTGAGAACTTTAACATAGGCTTCAGAAAGCAAAGGTGAGAAAGAGCTTCATACATAGGAAAGCTAAAGCTAAAGAAAAGCCAAAGAGAACATGGGACAGTGCAAATCTAAGGACAGAGACTTTAAGAGTTGTGCATATGCTGGTTGTAGGCACGGCTGTTTGCAAGTTTGAGCAATGAGGCTAAAGAGAGATGAGGCAGTGCAAGCCTGGGGGCAAAGGACTTTAAGATCCATTAAGTTAAGGATAAGCTAAGAACAAACGGGACAGTGCAAGCCTAAGGAAAGAAGTTTTAAGCAAGGTTTTAAAGAACTACAAGGAGTAAGGCCTTAAAGAATCAAGATAGAGAAGAGAAGCAATGAGGGTTGTACATCTCCAGTCAAGCGTACAATACACCTGACCCCAAATTTATGTCTGTCTATCCTATGTCTTTTCTGAATCTCCAGCCACCCCCAGTTAAGCCCAGTTAGGTCCAGCAATCACCAAGGAGTAAGAGAGAAAACCTCGCTCCAGCAAGGGAGGGAGCACGAGACATAGCACCCCCTTCACGCTACTGCTTGAACCGCACCTCCAGTCCATTTTGCTCTGGTCATTTTGGAGATGGTGCTCTCTCAAACTATTTGCCTGGGCTGGCCTTGAACCATTCTGCCAGTCTTGATTCAACCAGTCTCAGCCTCCCCCAAGTAGCTAGGATTACAGTGTGAGCCACAGGTGCTCAGCTGATAATTTCTTACACAATATTTAGATAAGCATCCTTGCTTCAAGCACATATCTTTGAGCATATTTTTAGTTATTTTTTTTAAAAATCAAGTCCAACAATGTTAAACACCTGGATCTAGCTAGTGGTATTCATATTTTTAGGGGTTTTGATCCTGGTAAGTGCTTCCAGAAGTGTTGCCATAGCAACACTATTAATCTAAGAGCACCTGTTTCCCATCAGTCTTCCCAACCATAGACATTCCACTTTTTTCTGTCGTTTATTTATTCTCTGTACAAAATACTTGAATGCTGCAGGATTCTAGGGGTTTTTCGTTCATAGCAGTCAGTATTGAGAAGCTGAAAATGCAGGCAAGCAATGGTCAAATGAAAGATTCAAGGAAGCTTTTGAAGTGCTTCTAGAAACTCTTAAGATTTCCAGTGTAGACAATGAATTGCTGACCCTTACCTTGTCCCAGCAATAAATCCTTTGGCAATAACAAATAAGCTCACATTTGTTTCCCTAAGAAAGATCTAAGGATATCAGGAAAGGGTGTAAGAGGGTGAATATGGTGGAAATATTGCATGCTCAGGTATGAAAATGGAAAAATGAGACCTGTTGAAACTATTCTAAGAAAGGGGGAGAAGGAGGATAAAGGAGAATAATGGAGGAGGTGAATTTAACCAAAATATATTGAAAGCACTTTTGTAGATGTCACAATGTACCCCCAGTACAACAATAATACAATAATAAAAATTTTAAAGGAATATTTTTAAAAGGCCTAAGGCTCTGACCCCAAGGTCAGGAGTGGATGTGGGGGGGAATCTGTAAGTGTGCATGCATTAGTAAGTGCACTTGGGAATGGGAGGAGGGGTGGAGGTGGGGAGGGGTGAGGAAATGGAGAGTGATGTTGTGAACCAGTGAGGAATTTGGAGGGGCAGAATCCCAAAGGCTGCAACAATGATCTAAATGTTATGATTCAATCATTCTCTATTCGATGCCAGTTCTTGTCCTATTAGGGTCCTCCCAACTTTGTTTTCTCAGCCCCTCTTTTATCTCTCCCCATTCTCCCCCTCCCTCCCCTCCTCCCTTTCTCCTTTCAGGAAGGCTTCCTCAATATAAAATGCAAATATTTTCAAAAATACACTTTCCCAGAATCCTGGCTCCACTTAATTTTCTTATCTGCAGAATGAGGATGGAAACACCTGCCCTGAAACCTTACAGGTTGCTTTTGTTTCCAAAGGACACGATGTATAGGAAAGAACTTTGTAGTGTCAGGAAAACAAAAAAAAATTTTTTAAAGCCATCATAGGTAAAGAAAGAATAGCTTAGCTAAGAGTTAAAAAACAAAAACTTGGTCGTAAAGTGTAGCTATATCAAAACTGTACCTTAGAACATAAAAAGAAATGAGAACAGATATTTTGCAAATGCTAAGAAACATTTAATAAACCCATAGCTTTAGCACAGAAGGGATGTATTTAATTATAACCCTTGGATATTAGATACTATCCATTAAATTTATCTAATCTGCATCTGACTCTTGAGTCTCTTTATATTTCAGTATTTCTTTTGTTTTTAAAAGAATTAAATTTGGAGTATTTTTAAGTAAGCAATAGTTCTCAGCCTGGGCTGCTTTTGCTCCTCAGGGAACAGCTGTCAATGTGTGGACATGGTTTTGGTTGTTACAGCTGAAGACAGGCTGGTGAGATGCCACCAAACACCCTACAGTCCTCACCACAAAATGTCAACAGTGCCCAAGCTGAGAAAAAGCATGCCTGGTGTTAGTAGGCATGCTTGGCTATTAATGTATCTACACAGCACACTTTCTAACAATTCAAGTTGCATTTCTAAAGCTTTGCCTGTGCAATAATGCCCAGTGGGACCAAAAATTACAAGGGGAAATTTGTTTATATTCCCAATAAGACATGTGGTCCATGATTCTGTGACCCACCCTGATCAAAAAGCCAGAAATTTTCCCAGTGACGGGTCATCTGACTGATTTTCTTCCTCTGATCCACATATCCTAATGCTTCTATTTTCATATCTGAAGAAACAGACTGTGCAGCTTGGTTTTCTGGGAAGGACGTATGAATAAATGTATATTTCTGAGACACCAGAGAACAGTATTACATAACACACTGCGTATTTGAATAGCATGGCTCTTGTTATAGAAAGCTGGGTAGTTCGTTTGAAATAAGCAAAGTATGAGCTCTTCACCGTATTTATGTATGTATTTTTTGATAAAAATAAGAAATACAAGCAACATACAGCTAACAAAGACAACATACATAGGAAAGAATCCTGAAACAGGAGAATCAGAATATTTTGTAGTATCAACTAGATAGTAAAGTTACTTAAATTTATCTAGGTCTCAATTTCCACATCAACAAAAATGGGACAAATGAAATGGTGAATTTCTTTCCATTTGTAAAATTCCATGACCCTAAATTAGAGTGTTGAATTAGTAGGATTTAAAGTAGCCACGTTGTACTTCCTAGCAAGAAAAAAATGCTGATCTTGAGTGGATCTCTGCTGGAGCTACCAGTCTCCACTGCCACCTAAGCCTGTCTCCACAGAAGGACTCTCTCCACATGAGTTCTCACTCAATAAACATGGCTGTATGTTGTAGTGTTTTATTTATTTATTTTTAGCAGTGCTAGAATTTGAACTCAGGGCCT